GAAGAAAAAGTAAAACGAGAGAGTACATTTCCGACTTGTTTTAATTCTTTTCCCCTTTAACCTTTTATTTACTTTTTTGAAATACTTTGAGCATTACGAAAAATAAATTTTTTCCCAGCAAAAGCAATTATTTCAATACAAATGAGATGATAATTAAGCAGAGATTTTTTTTTCATTTGTGTATTTCTGCTACAGGAAATCAATTTTGGTTAAATTGCATTGTATATATACATTTATAACTTTGTAATATTTACATGTGTATTAATGTGTATATTCAGTTATTATATTATTATTGTTTATATTTTTATATGAAAACCAAGTGTGCGCCAATTTTTATGAGACCCGCAAAATTTTGCGCGACTTTAGGAAGAAAAATCAATCAATATTGATTTCCGCCAATCACTGAAGTGTCGATACAGCAAGAAAAAAGTACTACTTGCGTGGTAATCCTTTCTCATCTTTCCTGGCCTCGAGAGACGAGTGAATATCCCACAAGAAACGAAAAAGAGTAGATCCCACTCCGATTAATGCACACCGTCTCCACATGTCGCCATGGGCTGTGTACCGCATCGCACTCCTGGACCACCTCTTAAGCACATCGAAAGGTGAAAGGAAGAAGTGGACTGAGGCGAAGGCGGGGGAGGGGAGGCTTCCAATTCGTATCTAGTGTGATTTCCCCGGGGTAAAGTCGACCGATCAACCGATCGAGTGGGTGGTTGAAAACCGCATTGGGAAACCTAATACATCCGAGGGTCCTCCCTTCTCACTTTCTTACCGTGATCTGTAAAAGCTTTAAGAGAGCATACGAGCGTTATCTCACGTATACGTGTTCACATTTATTGACTGTATGATGCGTATTACCCTTGAGTAATTTTTCTGTCACACGTTTAATAGTTGGTTGGAACAAAATAAAAGACACAATTTTCTCGAAGAAAATATTACGATTATGATCATCAGCATTTTCTCAAAAAATTATTGCAAAAATCGTCATCGTCTCTCGATGTTCGTTTTTCGATATTTTCAGCACGATGTTGCTGTTTTGATGGCGAGGCATCGATTTTCAATCGATGTCTTGCGACATTCTCTTACGATGGATATTCGTTGTGTGCATCTTAAAAAGAAAGACCTTAAAAATCCATTTTGCACGGACCATTAAGCACACATGTTAGCCAAACATCTCCTGTTCCAAAGCAAACTGTACCTCCCGCGGAGGTTTTTCCACGAAAAGTCGACGAATTTCTCTGGTTCGAAAAGCAGGGAAGAGAGAAGGGGTGAAACCTGCCCTAACCTACTGAGAGATAGAAATATTGAAGAAAGCAAGAGAGAGAGAGATCTACACGCCGTCCCAAATAATCAGCGCGACTTTATCGAATATCGCGATGTTATGAGAAAAAATGATGAGAAATTTTTTTATGAAAATTTTTGGAAATATAAGAAACAATTATTTTAAGTGGTATGAAACATGATATGAAACAAACACGCACGCACACACACAAAGAAATTTCAAATATTTGTTTAGGAAGTGTCAAGAATTAGCTGACACGACGAGGGGGCTGCGTCAAATATCAATTTTGGTCAGGTATCGATATTATTTGAAAAAAGAGAGAGAGAACGTTCAAATATTTATTCTTCTTGAAATAAATAGCAGAAAGTGGAGTGTATAATCTGCTACCGAATATATAAAAATTGTAAAACACAAATTGACGTTGTAAAATATTCAACAACAAAATCGTTAAACGGCTTAAACATCATGAGCGAGAACATAACGTGTCGCGATATGATAAAGTTTTGATTATGATCTCATGTAGCATTTGTGAGAAAAGCAGTGCAATTCTAGCAGCGAACAGATATAGCTAAGATAAACGAGCTCTCCTTTTCTGTCTTTTATATAGCTACCCGGCTCTCTATACATACATAGTCGCTTTTCTTCGCGCACTGTATAACGATTTGCCCTGCAGGAATATCTCTATCCACCTGTCTACATTCATATCCCTCAGACGAAATTGTCTTCCGAAGTGGCTTACAAATATATTTCAATAGAAACGTAATATTCCAGAGGAGTCAGTTGTATTGGCTGTTTCTGAATCGCTTCTGATTTGCCCGTCCCCCTTTTTCTCCTCAAAGGGATTTGTCGGTACTTTTGCGGATGTGTACGTATCATACATCCGTCATATCTAAGCGATAAAGTAAAATATATACGATGTATGTATGTACGTACATATATGTACATACAATGTATACATATATACAACACGGGGGTTTTTCCCGTTTTTATACACACACGAAATCTCGTAAAGTCGACGATACTTTGTATCGTAGACACCGCGAGTGTATATGTCGTCTGAAAAAGTGTGTGCATTTCTTTCTAGAACGAGAAATACTTGCCGAACAAACGCGAAGTCTTCGATACAATCGTGCGCCGCACGATATTTCGATTTCAATGGAAATTGGGTGCACTTTCGCCCACAGACTTCATAAGTTCTTCGAAATAAGAGCAGGTCTGCCTTCCTCTGTACGATAAATAAAATGCAATTTTGCTTCGGACGCAAAGGGAACTTTCTTATGTACATTATACATATATATATATATATGATTACTTTGAGATTCAACAATCATTTTCAAGTATCTAGTACGTACGTACATGCATTCTGTACTTTCTCGTAATATTTTTGTTTTAGTTGATCAAAAAAACATACACAATTACAGCATTGCAAATACGATTCGCAAAAAATTGTATTACAAATTTAAAGAAATATAAGTTTTATGTTTAAATAAAATTGCATACGTATCGAGTTTAATAATCGCTCTCAAAAAAACAAATAACGGCGCACACAAAACCTGTTTAAAAAAATAATATTGTATGTACTTTCCCTTGGATTATTATGTTTGTTCGTTTCTCTGAATTTCTTTAGAGAGAATGCAGCATATGCTTCGTGCCTTATTTTCTCATTTTATACTGCGACGTATCCTGAAAGCAGACGTTCCAGAGGGTTCGCGACAGCCCCCAAACTTTTGTCAATATTGATCCCCCTCTCTCTTTGCACGCAGGGAACGTACGCGCGTTCTCGGCTAGTGTAAGTCTTCACTTTTTTTTTTTTTCAAAAGCGCTTTAATGCGCTTTGCAAACAGACGGCAGTTTAAAATCTACACTTCAGACGTATTACTTTCGATGTGTGTCCCATATGACTAATCACGTTTCAAATCGCGTTACAGGCGAATCACAAGCGCTCAATTTACGAGTAGAAAATTCTGGGAACAGCGTACGTGTTGTTTAAACTCGCCGACATGAGCGTGCCTAATTACACGTCGGCGTTTATACAGAAAGCAAAACATATCAAATTGGTTCGCGTTCTTTTTTTTCTTTGTATTTACAACACGTAGCAGCTGTGAGCGTAATATCATTATCGATCGATCGATCGAGAATATACGCGAATAAATTAAGTTTACATTGATTGGGTTACAACGGAAATTGATTTTCCGCCCTCTCTCGTTCGCAGTTACCTTCAGTTATTTCGGTACTTTTGAGAGACTTGCACGTATGACGAGACGCAAGAAAAAGATGTCAATCTACCTGGGCTTCCATTTATCGACGCGCTACTTTGCTTCAATTAATGTGCGCTAACAACGTTAATTAATGCGACACAGCCGCGACGGGCACGGGAGAACCAACGAGAGGAGGACGTGCCAAGAGAAGGACAAGAAATTTTCCTCTCCTCTTCGGTGTCTGTCTATCCATCAAGAGCGGCTGCATCGCGCCTGTGTCGCATTCAAACCGAGTTGGCGCCACCCCTGCCACCTTAACTTCGAACATCAGAGGCTTCTGGGACGATATTATCTGTAGGAAAGTGCTCGAGAATATTATACATGCGTAGTGTACACACCCTATCGGGGCCAGGCTACTTTAACCGTACTCGACATTGATGACAGAGAGGAGAGAGAAACGGGACGGAGAGAATAGTTGGAGGCATCCGCTTCGTAGACGGGTAGCGACTACTGCTAATCGAATTATCGATCCTTGTCCGCGTTCTCGAAGCGAATATTAGATTTTCCGCGAATTTTAATGTACGCGACACGAAGAGAGACGCTAGATTTCTTTTTCTCTTTGCGAGATATAATGTTCGCGTGATGCAAGAGCAGGACGTGAAACGAAATAAAAACGTTATAATTTTAAAAGCTCCGATAGCTGCGATACACGTGTATTTATCGGGGCGTTTCTCTTTCGTACGACGGAAACTTCGACAACCGCCGTTTTATATTCGGGTGTCCACGAATAGAGACGAATCGTAAGATCGTATTGGGGAGGTTGGCACTTACATATATATGCGCGCCATGGAAAACGTGTACATGAGACATCACGTAAGCGTGTTCGGAGCACGTTTCTTCGCGCAGAAACCGCGTGTGCGGTTCGGGTGGCAGGAAGAACGGAAGGAAGGCAGGGAGAGGAGGACGAGAGATTGGGGAAGGAAAGCAAGAACCTCAGGAAATGTCAGAGAAAAATTCCAATATGCCTCGAAATTCTGGCGGCCGTGTATGGAATGCATCTGAGCCCCTTGATTGTGCTTCGGTAGCATATTTTTCTCGTACTTCCGATATTGCACCGGCGAGTTTCCTCGCTTTATAACTGCGAACGCCGTTGAATCTCCGCTTGCTCCGGTTCGTTCGCCATGTGCGCCCGCAAAGGACACTCTCTTTTTCTGTTCGTATCTATATATATACATATATATATATATATGTATATATATGCATCGAGACTAGATTTCGCTATTCTCTTTTTATTTACTGCAATTTAATGCAAGACACTTTTCTCTTGCATTGTAATCTTATATTGTGTTTGCAACGAATTTTTTCTACGCGAAATCTAACGATATCTCTCAACCGATAATTGTTTACTTAAGTTATAAGTTGAAAAATTGAAAAAGATTAATAATATAATATTTTTACTAACATCATAAACAGTTTTAATTTTTTTTTTAAATATGCCTTGATATCGTTTGTTTCAGGTGATGCCTCTCTCCCATACCAACTTCTCAGCCATTTCATCAATATATCCAAAGCGAATCGTCCGATACTAATGTAATGCCTATGTAACAAACTTGAGAGATCTCCCCTTCTGGCAACACGCTGATTATCATTTATCCACAAATCGACAATCCACTAACGCACTTGTCCCGCTCTGTGCATAACTCCGCGGGGCATTTGTCACTCAACCGGTCGTTGGTGAAAGCTCACCGAACTGAAATCGATCTGGCGCGTAATACCACCAGCACTATCCGAGACAGTAAATGGTTGTCGACATACCGCGGGATACCTGTAGAAAATCGATTTGCGTCGCGAGTTACGTACCCGTCTGGGTACGGTAAATCCTCGGCTGAAGACCAGCATCAAGATAAAGTCAGTGGGAGCTCTGCCTCAGGATGCGCGGGAACGGGTGGTGCCGTTAGTGGTGGATAACAACTCGTTAGAGGGACCGGTGAGCGGGGAGGAAGGGGGCCACGAAAACGGCCCCCAAAAGGGCCCGCTGGATGGTCTAGCCTGCGAGCAGCCATCGACGAGGTATAACCGGCAGGAAGACGAGAGCGCTCGATCGACCGAGACGCACGACTCTGTTACTGTCTCTGCTCCGGATCTGGCGGGAGTGGATACCGGGCTGGGATCCATCGATGAACGTATTGAGCTCGATGAAAGAATCGAAAGCGACATCAAGCAGCCGCAAAGCATCATAACGTCGACGAACAACGACAACAACGACGACGACGACGACGGCGACGACGACGACAACGACGACGACAACGACGACGACGACGACGACGACGTTCCGATCTCGGTACATTGCAAACGTCACTCGGGAGAACTCAACGGCGCAGCCTTGGAGCTACAATCAGCCGGCGGCAATTCCGACGCGCGCGCGAAGAGTTCGAAGAAGACGTTGGACGACGAAGACAACGATCGCGGCAACGACGACGAAGTACCGGCGAGGAGAACCTGCGCGGCGCATCGGCACAGAGCGTCCTGTCACGTAGCGAGGATCCACGCGGAGCCGCCCTGCCGAAGAGGCGCAAATCGAAGCCGGCTCTGCCGTGTACATGATCGTCGGCGGGATTATTCGAGAGGGAAGTCCACAGAGAGACCGGAACACCGGCATCTGAGACTACGCGATCCGGAAAACGCTATCGTGCGGCTGGAACAGGATCCTATACTTCGTCCGGTGCGCATCCTCGGTTGTCCGACTACAGAGGGACAGGAAATATCTTCGTTCTTAGAGCCAGCCGGGCCTCCCAGTTACGTCTACACGAGCGTGGGTCAATTCCCCGGCGGTGAACGGCATTGCTTCGCTCTACACAGGCCGGACAATATTTTACCCAAGAATCGCGCCAGCAATTTCGCCAGATATCTCGACGGTCCGAATCGTGCCGTGAAGGACATCAATCGCAAGCTTTTGGCGATGGCGCGCGCCATGACACCCGCCTGGTCGCTGCGCCTTCTTGGCGTCAGCTGCGGTTCCGTAGTCTGTGCCTGGGGACTTCTCTTGATATTGTCCATACTAGGTGGCAGCGCCTCGCACAATTCAGGCAATTATAATATTGATGGTATGGGAAGTCGTATGGGGGATACGATTTCGGAAGATCTGAACAGCATTAGGTGTCCCTGGGCGTGCACTTGCGGCGGACAGGAGGTCGACTGCTCGCATCGCGGACTCACGCAGATTCCTGGCGACCTGACGAATCTACTCATCGCGGAAAAACTGTAAGTACCCGTATAAATATTGACGACTTTATCAAAAATCAATTCAGAACACGAAAAATGAAAAAAAAAAAACTACAACGTGAATTACGATGTAGGATCTTTGCGCGATCCTGCTAAAATAATCGTCAAAAATGAAAACTCGCGCGTGTCGCAGTCACGTAATTGACGCTTTTCAAACGTTCGGTAGCGTTTTTTCGATACAAGACGAGCCGTTGTGAGCGGCAACAAATATTTTCGTTTTACCGATAAATCAACGCGAAAAATCTGTATCTAGATTCATGTTTTATTCGCGCGCGCGCGCGCGCGAGAGAGAAAAAAAAATATTCGGTCTAGAAATATCGTTAGTCAAACAATCGACGCGGTGAATGAAAATTCGCTCGTTTCGCGTAGATATATCTCGCAACTTTTGCTTCATACTTCCGACATATTTCTTTGAAAAACAAGTCATGGTCTGCTGTTGTTTTTTTTTTTTTTTTGCACGATGCATAATGAATTCCGATTGCTGCTATAACCGTTCGATTTTCGATACACTTCTGGCGTATCTTTTTAATACGTATTTAAGCGCGAGCTACGTTCAACGTGCGTCGAAAGATTCAGATGTCTGTATCGTTTCCGTTTCGAATGTCATTGCGCGTCCGTGCATTTGCATATTTTCGAATCGGGAATCGCGTTACTGCGAGATAACGATCGTTTAACAACCGCACGTTCTTTCGCTGCCAATGGGATAGAAGATAATGCAATAAAAACGGCGACAGCGCAATAATATACAGCCAGCAATAGAAGGAAAGGACAAAGACCGTCGTTCCTGCGAATTCTCGATGATACTGCAATATTTGTGATTTTTATCAATAATATATCTGATTTGAATATTGCAGTGGATATCCGACTTTACATATCGCGCGCAATAATGTTTATCGTTTCGAAAATCTGATATCTCGATTTTCGGACGCGCGATGTTGTTAAAGGTCACAGAATGGACGCGCGCGCGTTTGTTTCCACTTTGAACAGTCCACGCGATCAAAATAAAAGCACCGATTTGCAATTGAATCTTTATCGATAAAATATTTCACACAATTTTTGCTCAATTTCTAAATCATTACGTTTCGATAAACTTGTGCCGATACCAAGCCGCTGAGTGTTGGCTTTTGATTAGCACATGATTAATAAGTCGGTAAGCAAAACAGAGATATCGGGAATAATTGAATTCTCGAAATACGCGTAGCTCATTATATACGCGCGATTGCACGAAGGATCTGTTCACGAAAATTCCATTGATTCGAAACACGAAGTGTTACCGTGCACTGGTACGACGACGTTTTTCTACACGGGGGGATTACGGGTGCCTAATGATTAACGCAGGCCACGAAATTCATTATGTCTTGTAAGCACGAACGGCTCGTATCTCAAAGAATATGCGCGCGCGTGTTTCGCCTTTAAATTGAATTTATACTTTCAAATCGAGAGTCGCCTAGACGGGGCGTATTCGCGTTAAAGCTTGTAGCACATGTGAATGTGATATTTATATGTTAAATATTAGCGTATTTTTTAGTACAACCCGAACGGCACTCATATGTATACATACATATATTGCACATATGTACATATACATATGTATATGTATATACGTGTGCATACTGCCATGCCGTATGAGCACACATGCGTGTTTCGAAATCTGGTAAAATCACCGAATCGATACCGATGCAATTTGCGTGAAATATTTAACGCGGACGCATCATTATAGAGTGCCGTTTTGTATATATTTCTTTTACAAAATAAACATATGCTCTATGATAAATATAATATAATAAATACGTTATATGTGCATACATATAATAAAATATCATATTTTTTTAAACGCTTTTGTTAAACTTTTATACACTTTAAAATAAAAGTTAAAATAATTGTGTTATCAAAAACAATTCAATTTGTTCGAGAAAGAGGTGTTGACAGTATTTTTAAATTTTTGAAATATATCTTTTATCTCTCGTATCAAGTTTTATTATCGTGTAAGTCGAACCAATTAGATAAGATGTAACAAACCGATGTTAAAATCATCCGCTTCTCTCCTGTAAAGGACACCTTTCATCTCGGGCCAATAGATGAACCAGTTTGATTACTATCTAACTGAGAATCGCTGTTTATACCTGTTCACCCGCAGCGAACCGATCGTGGAATAATTATTTACCCAAGCAACTAGATTTCCCTCTTCATGGCCAACCCTATCTAAATCCGTAGCCTGCGGATGGCTAAACGCTCTCGTGTTATACATGAGTGTACATTGATTGGTGTCACTACCAGCCGTATCTAGCCATCAGTAGTTCGGATGAATCTCCGGAGACTGTTCTAAGTTGCGATATATATATATATATATATATATATATATATATATATATATATACACGCAATCTATATCACTTCTATACGCGCGAGATCTTGACGTGTATCGATGTATCGATGTACGCGCAAACACAATCAATATTACTCATATCGAATTAAATTATCTCGAGTCAAGTTCGCAACCATCTCTCAGTCTGCTTTGACAGAAGTTTCTCTAACAGTTTACACGACATGAGTTTACTACGACGAGTGAATGAATGAATATATAATGTCAACTCCCCCAACTTATTATTCAATTAGTTTCAACTATACGGATCTTTCTTTTGTGATGTTTGCGACGTCCGTAATTTTTTTTTTTTTTTTTTTCAAATAACGAATACGTGAGAAGCGCAACATAGGTATTATTTTTCTTCGCGCGCAAAACGATCGTTCCCATTGAAATTCCCGAACAAATAAGGGGCCGGAACGCTCGACAGCGCGTATCTATACTTCCGACAGGCGTTTTGCTTCCACCGAGCGGAGTGGTGGTACGCGCGGTTATAATAGTCGTATGTCTACACGATATCGCCCGCACTTATGATTTTTCGATTAAGCTACGTAAACAGAGTACACGGTAAGCTAAACATCTGCTGGCACGGGCCGAGTGTTTAGGCAAGACTCGATATGATGTTCCACCAACTAACATTCAACGTCCGCAAAGCGACGCGTCCTACATTTGGTTACGCGCTTGTACGAACGAAGCGCCTCGCAGCTACGGCATCGTAGAAGCGGTAAATATTAGAGGGTCGACATGTGATAGCTGTTTTGTTGATCCACCTCTCCGTTCTCGATATTTACATTTTTCCCATCGTTTCGAAGTCAGATTTTTATCAGCCGTCTTCATCGTACGCTCGCCGAACGAGCCACACATTTTTTTCCGGCGAGTGGTGCTTCATTGTTTGCACGATTGTGGAGAATATTTTTGACGAGCACCTTTCAATTATCCATTACAATTTTTTTTTTTTTTTATAGTGAAACTCGTCGTTTCGACGAATAGCTTGCGTTTTTTTTTGTTTTTCATTGTTTTTTCAAAACGTTTCAAAACCTCGCAACAATTAATGTTTTGTTACATCGCGCTGGTTGTACATGATGTTCGTTATTTGGAGGATACACTGTGTATACACACAGTCAAAAGAACTTGTAATGTAGCAAAGCAATATCGAAAAAATTAATTTGCTAGAACTGCATGTAAATTTTACAAATGTGTATATCAAATTTAAACTTAATAAAAATATTTGTACATCGAGACCTTCAAGATGCGAAGGAAATTTCAGTTTTTTCCGGTATTTCTGAAGTGGTATCAAAATCGATAAAAGTGCAACGCTACACTTAGTTCAATTTGTAGCCGAACGTAAAAGAAATAAAGAAAATTCGCGAAACGCAAGTGGCACTTTGACTTAATTACAAAATTCCAAGCGTGTGTATTTTTTATTTTTTATTTTTTTTTTCCGAGTCAGTCGCTATCGCCGGCAGATGTTGAAGTCGGTGAGATCCCGGTGACGATCAATGGTTTTAATTAGAATTTTTTTACGCGCAATCCCGTGTTTCGCAACGTGTGAAATCGGGTAAGATATGTAGATAGCAAGGTTGCCTTCAGATTCCTCGGGTGCAATGCAGTGATTCGCATAGTTGCTCGTGCGGCGTGAAACTGCCGCCCTCGCTTACGCCGCTATGGGAAATGTGTGAGAAAGTGTGATATATATTAAGCCGCGCCGAGAAGCTTTAGGCAAATATATATCTTTATTGTGACGCTCGCTTTAAGAACAATTTTGCCGCACGATACATCGCAGCACCGCGAAGAGAAATCGCATAAAAATCGCTATAAGTTTCTCATAATTTTAAGGTAAAGCAACGAGACATCGTTTACGGAAACGTAAACGCACTTGGCGGTTTCCATCACGTAGATATTTGGGTTACCTCACCGACGTCGTGCATAATACCACTAGGTATACGCCATGGTAGTATATGGTGAGAGCGTGGCAACGAAGGAAGGGGGATGGTAGGGGTTGCGGCGTTTTACTGCCGCAGTATGGGGGTAGGCAACGCGCGGCGCGGGAAAGAAGGGGAGATCACCGCGAATATTTTACGACACCTTCGGGCAAATCCCTCATGTACCTTAATTTAGACTCATACGCGAAAAAGTGGAGTTGGTCGACTCGGGCGCGCATTCTTAGACTCGCGAAATATAAAATGCAATAACGTTTCGCCAAATTCGCCAGCGACGGGCGAACCAACTTTTCACCCCGCGGTGCTGAAAAGTACGCGCCGTACACCGAGATCTCCGGTTGAATATCTATGTAAATGCGAACGCAAAAATCTTCCATTCAAGGTATGAAGTTTTTTTAATTTCGCAGATTTTCGAGACCTTGATACTTTGGTTTGAATGTATATTTCAAACGTTTGTATTTTAGCGTGAAAAAACGTGTATTAAAACTGCTTATAATAGACGAAACAACATCGTTTTCTAATTAAATATAGCATACATTGTCTCGTACGATATCGCCGACCGTTTATTCTTTTCACGACGAATTTTAACTGCTTTTTAAGTTGGTTAAGACTTCCTAAAAGGTCTGAGAAGTCTGAAGGATTTTCAAACCTTTTGGAAACTTTTCTTGAAACTTCCA